CTACAAAGCTAATAAAAATCCAAGGCTTTGTTGTTTGGGAGAGGACAACGGAAGAGGGAAGGAAAACGGTAAAAAAAAAAAACCTTTGCAAGTTTTAAAAGCCTCCAGCACTATTGCCAGGCTACTGCAGAGAGGAAATATTTTGGGAAGAAGAAAGTATATTCACCCAAGGCTCCAGATTTCTTTTCAAGTACATTATTGTCTGTTGCAGTAAGATGGCAGCAATGCTGTGAGGACACCTCCAGTTACTACTGCACACCCCAAAAAAGGAAGAGATCCCATAAATCAGCACGGACCCTTGGAAACAGCTGCATGTTACACAATGCAGGAAAAGGACAAAAGGGATGCAGGGGTACATACATTTACGAAGTCACCTCCTTGGATCATGAAATCCTTTATTACCCTAAAGAAGTAAAACAGCACTTAGTTCTCAGCAGACAAAGGCCTCAGGAAGCTCAGTGTAAGGTAAAAAGGAGTTCTGCCTCGCTGTGCAACAGAAGTTAACAGCCTGTGAGTGCTGCAGCCCGAAATCTGCAACAAATCAGTGGTTGATATCAGGCCATTTGGGACCCATTGCTGTTTGACCAGGGACAGTGATTAGGTGACAGATGCCAGACAGTGATCTCTGATGTAGCACACCAGGAACAGGGGACTCCTCCCAGTGACCCCAGCATACACCCCTGACAGCACCCCCAGATCCCCCAAAGCCACAGGAGGATGACACTAGCCATGACCCACTAAAGCCTCGAGGCAGGTCCCAAAACCCCATCTGGCTCAGGATGCTATTTAGTGCCTAAAAAGTAGGTGAATTACCTGTGGAAAGTGCTTCCTTTATAACCTATAGGGACACCATCTTTCCTGTAAGGAAATAAAAAGGAAAACCCTTTCAGCTTACTGGATATCCGAACACAAAACCCCCACAAGAATTCAGAGTCCCAAAGGTTGCCCCATACATTAGGAGCTGCCTTGAAATACAATCAAGAGCTGCAGCCTCTCAGCTGCTGCTGTTGGAGGCAAAAGGAAGCCTCAAATGGGCTCTGCACAAGAAATGACTTGGTAACACCCACACCATCATCTTCACAGGATCCCACTGCAGTGTGCAGCACGAGCAGGTGGGTTTTGCAGACAGGGCTTTTTAGAGCCACCTGGGCACGAAAAGTCACATCCAAAAGGGAAAACCTGCCACCTCCGTGACTCACAGAGCCCCTCACAATTTCCTCAGAGCAGATTTCTGTAACTCTTTCGTTTTGTACTGGTACAACATGCAAAACTTCCAGGCGAGCCCCTCTTCCACCTCACCCAGCCCCTGTTTCTCCAGTGGGCCACTTAAAAGGACACTAGAACCCACTTACCTGAATTCACCTGTACAAAACTGCCTGGAAAACAAAAAAGAGAGCAGAGTGTGAGGCACGTGAACTCTGAGGGCACCGAGGGCTGCACTGACTGGCACATAGGACTCTCCTTACTGCACCAGGGATGTCCCCAGTAAAATAGGAACTGGCTGCTCCTCTCCACTGCCTTTTCAAAACATATTCTGTGCCCTCTCTGGTGAGGAGGTCAGAGATTTAACAGCGAGGTTGTAAGAGATGGTGAATGTGGGGCAGGCACCGTGCTTGACAGAGAACAGGGTACGTCCATCTCTCTGATGGAAATGGGATTCCAAACGGTGCATCCCTTAGCTGACTGCAGGAGAACTGGGTGGCCAGGAGACCTCCACCATGGCACAAGGCACTGCCTGTTCTACGTGCACCGGGCACATCAGAGGCTCCACAGAGGAAGGGGGGACTGGAGTCCTTCCCCTTGCAGTCAGATGGGCTCCCCTGGGGGACCAGGACACCGCACAGCATCTCTGGTAAAGAGAGAGACGCAAAGCAGAGCAGGTGCATCAGGTCGGGGAGGGAGGGCAGGTAATCACTCTGCCACCAAAAAAACATTCCTGCACCGAAAAGCCTTCGCAGGAACGGGCAGCGGCTCCTTACCTGAAGTTCTCCGCCGTTTTGGGGACAACATCGGCAAACAGCTCGATCTTCATGCGGCCGACCTCCTGGGGGAACAGAGGGGCCAGGTGAGCCTCCGGGGCCCCCCGGTACACCCCCGCCTCCCGACACCCCCGCCTGCCCCCGCAGTCCCCCCACCTGCCCGCCGATGGTGACATCGAAGAAAACCACCGGGTTGTTGGGGTTCGCCGCCAGCGCCGACATCGCGGCCGCCTCCGCAGGAAGGGGAACAGGCGGTGGAAGCGGAATCGACGGGCAGGGGGGCGGGACGGGGTGGGCGGGCAGCGGGAGGGGCCTTGGCCGTATCCGGGATGTCCGGGATGCCTGGGATGCCTAGGGTGTCCGGGATGCCCGGGCAGTGTCCGGGGTGTCCAGGGCTGTCCAAGGTGTCTGGACGGTGTCCGGGCCGTGTCCAGGGTGTCCCGGGATGTCTGGGCTGTTCAGGATGTCCGAGATGTTCGGGATGTCCAGGGTGTCCGGGATGTCCAGGGTGTCTGGAGTGTCCGGGGGTGTCCGGTCCCCATCCCATAGGGGCGGCTTGGGGTCTCCAGAGCAGAGCACTGACCCCCAGGACCACGCTCTGTCCACAGCCCGTGGTGCTGGTCTGGCCAGGGAGCCCTGCCCGCTCCTCTGCCTGCCCATTTGGGCACACGCCAGCTGAACATGAGATTAGGTGCGCCCAGATGGGTAAGGAGGCCAATGGCATCTGGCTTGTACCAGCCACAGAGTGGCCAGTGGGACCAGGACAGTGACCATCCCCCCTGTGCTGAGGTGCCTGGAATCCTGGGGTCACTCCTGCGCCCTGCCAAACCTCCCCTGCAAAGAATCAGCTGAAATGCTCGGGTTTTGGCAAAACTATTTATTGGGGGATCAGTGGGAGAAACAGAGCCGGGAGCATCCGGCACAGTGTGTCCTGGTGCAGCCCTGGCCGTGGTCTCCACCAGCAAGGTGCTGGGTTTTGGTGGCCGGGTTGCCCGGGGATGAGAACGAGGAAGATCTCCTGCAAGCTCTGGGCTGCCGGGGTGTGTGCCAGGGTTGCCTTGGGGGCTCAGTGGTGCTGAGGATGTCACCAGCTCTGTGGCAGGAGAAGCGTGCCGGACACTGTGCCGTCATCCCGGAGCCTGCTCTCCACGTCCCTGAAGGCTTCCAGGGGTCGCGCCGCATCACCAGAGCTCTCTGCAGGGGGGGCAAAGCATGGGAAGGGGGTGAGTGTTACCTCCTCCTCTGTGGGGACCTTGGGCACCAGGGACCCTGAACACCCGTGACGTGCGGCACCAGGGGACGTGGGGCACCAGGCACCCCAAGCACCCAAGGGATCCCAAGCACCCATTGTCCCAGAGTGCCTGTGCCCAGGAGCCCCCTCCCTGTGCCTGTACCTTGGCACGGGATGAGCTGTACCGTCTTTCACGCAGGTTCTGCTCCGCGATGCCACCGACGACCGGGCCGTTGCAGTGGCCGTGCCGCTCCATGCTGCTGGGACACCCCAGCACAGTCAAGTGACCGCTGGTGGGCTCCGTCTTGGGACACCAGTGATGCTGGTGGCACTGGCTGCTCCAGTGCGTGGGGATGGGGGCTTGGCAGATGTCGTGCTGGTTCTTGCTGCTGGTGTCCCCAGCCAGCTCAGCCAGGCTGAGCCCACCCGTCTGGGCAATGGCCTTCTGGAAGCCACCCTGGCCAGTGGGGATGAAGGCACCTTTCTCCATGCCAGGGAAGATCTCGACTCTGCTAGAATCCTTACGGGATGCCCTCAGGTCCTCCTGGCTGAGCTGGTAGTAGTGGGTGGCCTCAAAGCGGGACTTCACCTCCTGCATGGAGATAAAGGGATGGTGGAGGGCAGCGCTGGGCGAGATCCGCTCGCGCGAGTCCCAGGTGAGCATCCTCTTGACCAGCTCCACCATCGCATACAGGTCACAGCGCTTGGCCAGCTCCTCCTGGTCGGGATCGGACACCAGGCAGAGGTTCACTGCCGCTAACTGATCCAGCGAGGAAAACACATGCACCCTCCTCTCCATTGGCTTTGCCATCACCTTCCCCGGTGGTTTGAGCTGCCAGGTACCGACAGAGCATGGGACCTGTCGGAAGAAGGACTGCGTCTTCTGGGCAGCGCAGAGCAGCTCGGCCCGGGGCAGTCCCAAGGTGGAGCAGATGTAGCGCACCTGGTCGTACTCGTTGTTGCCGGGGTAGAGCGGCCAACCCAGGTGAAGCTCGGCCATCACGCAGCCCAGAGACCAGACATCCACCTTCTCGCAGAAGGGCAACCCCAGCAAGATCTCCGGTGCCCGGTAGAAGCGGGTTTGGATGTAGGGCTTCTGGACACGGTAGACCTCGGGGAGGAGGATAGCCGAGCCGAAGTCAATGAGCTTGACGCGGAACGGGTAGCGCAGGTGGTCCACCAGCATGATGTTCTCCGGCTTGAGGTCAGCGTGGATGATGGAGAGCTCCTTCAGCTTGACCAGCGCCGCCAGCACCTGTGCCGTGATGGTTCGGATGTGCCGGACGGGCAGCGGTGAGAAGTTGTTCTGCTTTTGGAAATCAAAGAGGTTTTGCTGCAGCAGCTCGAAGACGAGGTAGGTCCAGACCGTGTCGCTGAAGGACTCGAGGAAACGGACGACGTGCGACTCTTCCGCGTCCCCCTCCCGCAAGGCCTGCAGCAGCCTCAGCTCGTTCCTCACCGTTTGGCCGTTGTAATCATGGTTCCTCAGGATCTTGATGGCCACCATCTCCCCTGTGCTCCTGCGCTGGCCCTGGGTCACCTGCCCAAAGGTCCCCTTCCCGACCGTGGCCACCAGGTCGTAGCACTCGGCACCTACCACCAGTGTCACCATGGTGGGTCAGCTCCTCGCCAGGGGCTCAGGATCCTACCGTTCAGTGCCCAGCGGGGACTGGGGACACTCAACTGTCCCAACCTGGTCTCGCAACGCCGGGGGTTCCAGCACCACCACGGCAGCACCTTCTGTTGATGATGTCACAGCAGAAGGAGCCTGGGTGGAGGAGCCCCCTGAAACCCAGCACTGGACACCCCGAATCCAGCCCTGCTCTCCCAAAATCCACCCACAAACCCAAAACCACATCCCTGCTCCCCCCAAAATGGATCCAAGCCCCCCCCCAACCCATCACAGCCCCCTGAAAACCCATTTCCAGCCTCCTAAACCCTTTCCCTGGTCCTCTGAAACCCATCCAAGTCCCCCATGACCCATATGCAGCCCCCCAAAACCATTTTCCAGTCCTCCAAACCCAATCCCTTGTCCCCCAAACCCATCCAAGCCCCCCAAAACCTCTCCCTAGTTTCCCAAAACCCCTCCGAACCCCACAATATCCATCCCCACCTCCCAAGTTCCAGCCCAACATAAACCATCCCCAGCCCTGCTGAAATCCACCTCTGTTCCCTTAAAACACAGCCTAGCCCTCACACCCACACACCTATTTCCAGCCCCAGAAAACCCCTCCCTGTTCCCCTAAACCCTGTGTCCAAGCCCCATAGCCATTCTCATGACTTTTTTGGACATTAATATTTATTCTGGCCAAGCCAAGAGCACTCCCCCCCACACTTTCCCTGCTTGACAGTAACACCTGGAAAATAGGCCAGGCAAGAATAGGGAGGGGTAGGCAAGTCAAGGCAGAGGATGGGTATGGAAGGCAATGCAAGGAAGGGAGAAGTGGGCAGAGAGAGGCAAGGCAAGGCAAAGGATGGCCAGGAAGAGTTAGGCAAGGCAGGGGAGGGGTAGGCAAAGCAATGGAAGTCAAACAAGGGCAGGTAAAGCAAGGAAAGGCCAGGCAAGAAAGGGGCAGTTAAGGTGATATGTAAGGTAATGCAAGGGAGGTGTAGAAAGGAAGGAAAACAGCTAGGCCCAGTGTTTCAGGTGCAGAGGATGGGCTACCCAGGGGACATAAAGACCAGCCCCAGCTTTCTGTTCTGGTACCTCTGGTATAGAAAAATCCAAGGTGTATACAGTTTTTGAGGATTGGCTCCAAATTTCTAGGGTGGGGTTCAGGAAGTGAATCACTAGAGTGTCTTTCTTTGGGAAGCAAAGGATGTAGTCCCACTGTTTGTGGTACCATGGGGAGCTAAACAGCAGCAAGACAGTTCTCTCCTGGCTGGCCCCCTTTGTGTAGGAGCAATTCTTGGATGCTGGCAATATTGGAGATGGTATCTGACTTTTGGGTCTGGACTCCTGGAAGTGTGTCCCAGTGCTTTTACACGGGGAGGAAGGCAGGTAATCCCAGTGCTTCAGGTGCAGGGCAGAGGCTGCAGCAGCCAGGAGCAGCTTTCTGTCCTGGGACATTTTGTGTGGGAGCAATCCCCCGACGACTGCAACGACCGAGTGGGGATCCAAATTTTGGAGTTAACCTTCTGCAAAGGGATCACAGTGCTCTTCATAAAAACACATAGTCCTGGGGCTTGTGCTGCAAAGAATTGGGTGCCCAGGGGATGAAAGGGACAGCAATAGTTTTTCTATCTGGCACCTTTGGTGTGGGAGCAACCTCCCAGCATCTTCAGTTTTTTAGGTGGTCTTCTGCAACGTTTGGCAGTCTGTTTGCTATGGGCAAGGTAAGCAGCTCTCCCCGGTGTGGGTGTGCAGATGCCTTGGGGAGTTAATGCCCAGGGTTCTGGCACTTCTGTATAGGAACAATCCCTGGATATTTTCTGTTTTGGAGGGGGGGGGATCACATTTCTGCTGAGATAGGGTCTTCATTCCTCTCTTTGGCAGGGAAAGCACTTTTGGATTCTCACATTGGGCAGTTCAGAGAGTGTCCTAGTGAGTTGAAGTGCTTTTCCTAGTACACAGTGCTATCAGTTACAGCTGCTGAACCTCCAGAGTGGGAATGTAAAAGCCAAGCTGTTGAGCTTTTTGTCCTAGTCCATTTAGTGTCTGAGCAGCTAGTGGTGGGGCTCAGTTTTAGATCCTGACTCTGTGAGACTGAAGGATTACGATGGTGCAGAGAGCCGAAGGAGCAGATTCCGGGGGGTGTGCTGCAGTTCAGCGGGTGCGGCTGAAGGTGGAGACAGCAACAGCTTTCTCGCCTGGCACTTCTGTGAGCTCTGTTTTTGCCGGATGTATTTTCGATTCCGTAGCTGGATTCTGAGAGAGGGGGGAAAAAATTTACTAGTACATACTTGGGAAGGAGCTCGAGTTTGCACGTGGAAGGTCAGCCAAACCTTTCAGTCCCGACACGGTTCATTTGAGGGCGGTGAGGTTTTGAACTTGGCTGGTTTAGCTGGTTTAGCCCTGGGACATTGACTTTTGCAAGTCCACACCGCCATCGCGTGGTGGTTTGATGAGCGGTGAAAGCCAAGCGCTTCTTGTGCTGGGACCATTAGTTAGCGCAGGGGTTGAATTTTGGATGCTGGCTCCTCGAGGATGAAAGAACGTGATCCTGCATTACGCGTGGGAAGGAAGGCGAATCGTCTCCTTGTTGGCTCTGCAGTTTCTAGGCTTCAAAAGAGGAGTGAATCCCAGCACTGGCTTTTTCTTCCAGAACCTTTTCTAGGGGACCAGCTGCTTGAACTGGTTTTAGTTTTGTGACTGTGAGGCAGAAGGTGTGTGAGGGGACACAGAGCTGGGCACACAGACCCGTGCCTGTCGTGCAGTTTATAAGCTGCAAAAGCAAAGCGAAGGCCAGAGCTGACTTTCTGTTCCTTTTTGTCAAAGGAGGCAAGTTAAATGTGGAGACAGTAACAGCTTGCTGAGCAGGCACCTTTTGTGACCAATATCTACACTTGACACAGTTCAGGTACAGGATCCCTGCAAGAGTGAAAGAACGTGAGAGTACCTACAGTTTGAAAGGAAAGCTTGTAGCCCCAGGGCACACGGTGTTGATATCCTTCGAGGTGACTGTGAAGCCAATTAACTGTTTTCTCCCATTTTGTTTTCAGATTAAGGTTATGGAGCTGGTCTCAGCAAGAGGAAAAATGCAAAGGGTGCATGCAGCTGAAAAAACAAAGCATAATATCAATGTATGTTGTGCAGTTTAAGGCTGTATGGGAAATGTGATGCCCAGAACTGTCATTTTTTTCTAGGACTGTTTTCTAGAGGCAGCAGATTCTGAAAGGCTGTCTGTGAGAGTAGAGGATGCAACATCCACCTGAGAAGAAACTCCCATAGGCCATTTCCATTTGAAACCCTTAACTGGCACCAGAATCAAGGGGCAATCCTCATCCTCACTGGCCACACCTGGGGCTGCCCCACCCCCTTATCACCCTCACTGCTCACACCTGGGGCTGCCCCAGGTGAGAGGTGACTCCACCCAGTGCTCCCAGTTCCCTCCCACTGCTCCCAGTATCATTCCTTGACTCCTCTCAGTACTCCCAGTTCCCTCCCACTGCTTCCAGTATCACTCCTTGGCTCTCCCCTGTATTCCCAGTTCTCTCCCAGAGCTCATAGTTCCCTCTCTCTGCTCCCAGTATCACTCTTTGACTCCCCCCAGTGCTACCAGTTCTCTCCCAGTGCTCCCAGTTCCCTCCCGCTGCTCCCAGCATCATTCCTTGACTCCCCCCAGTGCTCCCAGTTCCCTCCCACTGTTCCCAGCATCACTCCTTGATTCTAAAATTGAATATGGATGAAGATTCCTCCCAGACAAAAGGGGCCATGACAGAAAGGGTCTGGGGGAAAGGGGGAAGCCACAAGCTTAGAGATGGCACTTCTGGTCAGCTCAAATTCTGTTTTTAGCTTGCCTCCTCCCCAATTTTGTCTCAGTTGTGCCCACCTAATTCTTCAGCTGCTGCTCCCTGGGAGGAGGTGACCCTTGTCCATGGTGGCACAGCTGATCTGGACAAGATGAGGAGGAATAAACACCAGCTGAAGGCCTCTGTGAGCTGTTTTGGGTCGTGGCAGCACTTTTGAACATCACATTGATGCCTTTGGTGATGCAGCACTAAATATTAATTACCCCTAAACCAACTCTGTGTCTGTTCTCCCAAGGTCTCACACCTGCCTCATCCTCCATGTCAGATCCTACTTTATTTTCTAAATAAATACCCTGCAGCCACCAGATTTCTTGGTTTGAATCCCAGGCTTTCTCCTGGCATATGTTATTTTCTTCCTGGAAGCCACAAGCCATGGTAAACAAACATTTACAGGTGCTGGGAACACGGGACACAGGCTTCTCCTTGGCTGACTCATCTGTCTGGGAAGAGCCATAAATTCTGGAGCTTCAGGGCTGAAGTCAGATAGGGAAAAAGCTCTTGGGTAGCCATTTGCTTGTAGAGTTCCTTGTATTTCCCCTAAAGCATATCCTTCTTGGGATTCTTTATGGATGCATGGTGATCCTGGTCCTATGACATGGATGTGTCCTTGGAGACCAGGTGGAGAAGGAGGAGCTTCACCCCTCTGTGTGCTTGGTGTCCAGCTCTGCTTTGGGACAGTGTCCAAATCTTGCCCCTCCTGCTGCCTCAGTTTCCCTCATTCACCTACAAGTTGTTTTTCCTGCATTTAAGTTGCTCAGGACAGGGACTGTACCCCACCAAGGACATCCCTCTGTTACAGCATCACTCCCCTCTGCCTTTAGGGAGGGTCCCCTTTAGACCCCCAGGGGTGGGGGGCTGCAGTGAGGGGCTTTGGGGTGTTCCCAGGGATGACAGCATGGATGAGCTGAGATGGGAATGGGGACAACAGCAAGGGGGGCAGAGAGATCTGGCCTAGGGCTGCAGACAAAGCTGGTCAGGGATGATGCAGCCTGATTTGGGGAGGCTTTAGGGTGCTTTCTTTCCCGTAAAAGAGGAAAGGGAGGACAGAAATGAATGCAAAGGATTCTCCCCCTTCGAGCGGCAGCTGTGCAAAATCTCACCCCGGGGAGGCAAATCATGGGGGTGGGCAAAAGGCTTTCGCAGCCCCCTTTCTCCACCAGCCTGCCCAGCTCGGGGGCATCTCTTCCACCCAGGTGGGCTTCGTCCCTCACCCCTCCCCTCCCCGGGCGCAGGAGGGGAGCGAGGGGAGGGGAAGCCGGCGGGGTGTTTAGGGGGATTGTCATGGTTACCTCCCTGGCAAAACAAATGGCTCCACTGGATGATGATGATGATGATAGTGGTCACTCAGACAGCTCCGGACAGTGTGGGGTGGCCGGGGGGGGGGGGGGGGGGAGAAAGCCACCCTGGGGAGCCAGAACCGCCCCCCTTGGGGAGCCAGACACCCTCTCGGCTCCTCGCCACCGGGGCACATGTTGCTGCAGCCCGTTCGGTAAGACCCTTCCTCCCCCACTCCAGACCCGCCCTGGACCCCCCTGGTCCCCCCAGCCCCGCTACCCGGTGGGGAGGGTCCGGGGGGGGGGGTGATGCCACCGGTTGCCGAGGTGGCTGGTGGTGCAGCGCTCCCCCACCCCAAGCCCCGGCGCTCCCTCCTCTCCCTCCCTTTTCCTCTCTCCTCATCTCCCTCACTCCCTGTCTTCCAGAGACAAAAGCGCTCCGCAGCCGTGCCTGTCGCCTTCAGGATTCCTCCTGTCCCTCCTGCCCCCCCAGCCCGGCCGCAGAGGGGCTGGAAGAGTGGGTGAAGTTGCTCCAACCCCCCCATTCCCTTCCTCCTCCTCCTCTCTCCCAGGAAAGGTAAGAAAAGCAGTGGCTACTCTCCGTTTGCTCCTGCACCTTTTTAGCTCCGCAGGGGTGGGTGTGAGGTGCGTGTGTGTGTCTGTGTGTGTGTGTGTGTCACTTCCCAAGGCTGTGCGCGATCCCAGCACAAAGCAGCTCACTGAAGAGATCCCTGTCATAATATTTCTGCAGGCACAAGCCTACACTTTGAAAGCTGCTGCTTCCCAGCCTTGCCTTTTCCCAGCTGGATAGTGAGTCCCAGAGCATCCCATCCCTCCCCAAAATTGTGCAGGCATCAGTAGTGACTGTCTCCATCTCCCTGCAGGCAGAGGACAGGGGTGGATGGGGGGGGGGGGTGATGCTGCAGGTGACAGGCTCTTGCTCTCCTGGGCAGCCAGGTGGGATATCCTGGCTGTGGACACACTGTTTGGGGAAGGAGGACTGACCTTGGCAGGGTGAGGGGGGCTGATCTCAACAGTAAGGGTCAAAGCAGCAAGACCTGGCTTGTATCTGCCACGTTGGCTGGGGCATGGCAGGGCAGGGATGGATGGGGAAGGGCTGTGCTGCTCCTGAGGGCCCTACGTGTCTCCTTGGATCCAGACACATTCCAGTTATGGAGTTTGGCAATTTTAGCCCAGCAGAGGGTTGTCTGGGCTAACACCCCCCCCCCGCTCTGGTTCAGCTCAGAGATCTTCCCCCAGCTGCAAGCCTGGCAAGGCAGGGGTTATCTAAACCTTGTGTCAGAAATGAGTGATTGACAGCTCTAGAAAGGGGCTTGGGACGTGAATCCACATCCTTGAGACCCAGCTCTGGGGCCAGGCTGGTGGCCCCAGACATCTGCTAGGGGTATGACTGGCAGATCCCAAAATCCGTCTCTGCCAGGGCTGTCAGTCACGTTCCAACCTGGCACTGCATCACCCCAGGAACGAGGACCCAGCTGCTTTCACTGGGTGCTGGCAGGAGCAGCTGCTCCCCAACACCATATCCCCAATCTCCATATCCAAGGCCTCAGGGAGCCCTTGGGGACACCCCAAAGGGATGTGTGTCTCTGCCCAGCAATCTTTGTCACCTCTGTGGCAGTGGGGGGCCATGTTGTCACCCTTCCAGGGCCTGCACTGGATGTTTTTCTGCTTTCCCCATCAGGTGTGATACCCTACTTGAGTTTGAGGTTTGGGGAGACTGGAGGTGGGAGAAAAACTCCTGTAGCTTTTCCTGGGAAGTTCCCACAGGTCTGCCATTGTGGATCCCTAGCTCTTCCAGACAGGAGAGTGCTGTGTATGCTTTGGAAACACCATTTGTCCTGGTGCTTCCTAGAGATGTTTTGGGGGTTGATCCCAGTTCCCTGGCCAGGTTTGAGCCTCCTGCTTTGGGGGAAAGCAGCTGGAGGGGTCCTGTATGTCTTAGTCGTGACCTGCAGATGATGTGGGTCAGGTGGGTAAAGTCAGGGGGCCCTCAGCAGCATGCCCACATCTTCTCCCTGAGCCCTGCTGTCCTTGAAAACCAGGGAAAATTCCCAAGTGTGACTCTACTTAAAAGCCCTGAAAGTTTGGGAGGTGCAGGGCTTCTCCTGTCTCGGGATTGCAAACAGGGGGGAATTCGCTTCCCCGTGGGGATTGCCCAGGGATGCTGGTGGAGGGTTGTGGTGCAACAGGCACCTTGTCACCATCCTTGTCCGGATCTGTCCACCTGTAAATCTCCACAGGGCACTCCGGCTGTTGCCATCCTGGCCAGCCACTGGATGTCAGTGTTGCTTGAGACAGAAGAAGAGGAAGGAATATTTTACCCGGCTGGAGGAAACCAGGCACCCGCTGAGCAGTGAGGATGTGCCCCCCAGGTCTGGCTCGGACCTGGAGATGTGATCTCCAAGGGAACCCGTTTGGGGCCGGTCAGGGGTTAGGGCAGGGTGGGGCAGCGAGTCAGCAACCCAAAAGTGCATCTGTCGCAACGTGTGGCACCAGGGCTGGGCTTCACATGGCTCTTCATATCTTGGGGGGCTAAAGCAGCCGGGGCTGCCCCTGGGCATCTACCCTTCAGGCAGCAGGGCTGGGTGTGGCTGTGTTGGCTTTTATTCCAGCTCCTGGTTTGGCTCTCCCTGTCCTGTTGTCAGCTGTAGGTGCCACAGCCCCCGTGGTGTGGCACTGCTGCGACCCCAACGCATGGCTGGGAGTCAGGTCCTGTCCGAAGCCAGGCTGTGTGCTCACAATTTGCTCTGTTTTTCCATTCAATACCTGAAAATACACCTCAGAGGAGCATTATTCTGCCTCTGTCTTTACTCCACGCGCTCAGACAGATTTTTTTTTGAGGGCACATCAGTGCTCAGAGACACAGACAGACACCCAGGGCAGCTCTGAGCAGCACTCCAGGCATCGCCCCCCCCTTTTTCAGGCACGTGAACGCATTTGCCAACCCAATCCTTGAAAATTCAGCCCCAGCCTCGCACTGCTGGGACAGGCACCCGCAGCCATGTGGAGGGGCTGGAGCCCGTGCTCCAGATCCCAGCCCTGCGCACTCTGCACGTCAGCGGGACCGTCCGCAGACGTCGGAGCAGCATCAGCACCTTCCCCGTCAGGCGGGCACGGGAATTGGCCGAGGGAATTGCCTGGAGTGGGGGGAGCACGCTAGTTACTGCGTCGCTCCCTCCTCCGTGGCCAGGAAGAGCAGTGGATTGTCATGGAAAGAGTGTTTACAAAGGAAGGAAGGAAAAAAAAAAAAAAAAGGGAAACGCAGTAGCATCCCTGCGGTGTGCCAGGTCTGGAGCATGGGACAATATCTGTCCCCAGCCCTGAGCTACCCCCCAGCTGATGAGATTACAGGTGTGGGGTATTCGGGGGGGCTGAAGGTATTTACCAGTGGTTTCCCTTTTTCCCCGGGATGCCAGACGCTGTGTGAGGCCGTGGGTTGGGAGCAGGTCGGTGGGATGGCCCCGTGCCTGCCCCAGGGCACGTTTGGTGGCAGTGAGAGGGCACCCTGAGGACTGGGGGGGGTGCAAGGATACCCTGTGCTGCCGTGATGCTGGTGGTAATTTTTGGGATGCAGCGTCCTGCCAGCTGAGTACTGAAGGTGCAGCCCTGGGACCTGGATGGAGACCGAGCTCAGGTCCTGGAGTGGCAAAGGCAGGATGGGGAGCAGCTGGGGGGCTGGTGATGGGCTCCTGGGGAAACAGGAGAGAGATGCCAGCTCTCCCACTGCTCTCCCCCACTCCAGCCTCCCCACTCTCCTTTTCCATGCTGCAGTCACTTGATGGCGTTGGTGACACGATGTGTGCAGAGCAGCCCCATGGCTGTGCTGGCCACATCCCCATCCACAGGGTTTTTGCTGGGAAGAGCCCCCCAAGCCCTCCCTGTCCTTGTAGGGCTGGTTTTTTTGGCTGGCACAGCAGGCAGGGCTAATTGCAGGCTCCTCTGGACCCCTGGGATCTGTGGGAAAGGTGCAACTCTCCTGGCTGGCTTTATACAGGACATGGCACAGGGCTCTGCATCCCACCAAAGGTCCCTTAGTGCTTGTCCTGGCCCAGGTGATGCAGAAATCCCTGCTGGCAGAGTGGTTCCCATGGGAGCCATGTCCCCAGTCTCCCACAGGTGAGGGGCTTGGATCTCAACCATAGCTCTGCCCTAAGTCTCTGCAGCCAAGGGAGCTTCTGAGCTAAAATCACAGCTCCTGGAGCCCAAATTCACACCTCAGGCAGCACATAATGAATTCTTCATTCTTCAAGCTGACAGAGAGCATCTTCACCTTGTTATTTCCTCCTTTCTTTCTTCCCTAAGGCAAAGTAATACCCCCCCTTTCCTTAAGTGCCCCACCTGGCATTTAATCACTTCCCGATGTCCTGATGGCCTCTGCCACGTCCTGCAGAGAGGGGACCCTGTAGCAGGTGGAGCCTTGACAGCTCCTGACTTTACAACATCCCTGTTGGCACGGCTTGGAGCACCTCGGTGTGGAATGGGCTCCCCTGGCTCAGGCAGGGCTCCTGTGTTGGAACAGCCGAGCTGGATGTGCTCCTGCATCTCCTCATGCACCCCATGGATGCACCCCCTGACCTCCCTGGGCAGCCCCTGGCGTGAGCAGCACTTGAGGGGACAGGAGGGGAGGATTAAATCGGGAATGGCAGAGGTTGTTGGCTGGGATTCAGAGGCGTGCCTTGGGATTACTGCCCTCCATCACCATCCCAGCCAGCCCTTCTTGCTCTCCCTACCTCTCTCCCTTTTTCCTCTCTTAACGCCGTTTTCCTGCCCGAGTGCTCGCGGGGCTCGTGGCCTTGATGTCTGCTGCTCACGTCTTCCGTGGCATTTGCATATAAAGGTGGTTTTTAATAACGCAGGACTGGTAGGAAATGAGAAACTGATGTATTTCAGTGCTTCTGGCTCCTCCTGGGCCTTGTAAATCACTGCACAAAGCACTGCAGAGCCAGCCGGGGAGAACTGCTGCCTAGCAACTTCTCCCGATGCCCCGGGGGAGCGGGATGTGGCCCTGAAAGCCACCTGAAAGGTCTCCTTTAAAACCCTCGGGCTTGGGGGAGAGGAGCTGGAACAGAGGAAAACCTGCTCGGGGAAAAGAGTTGGAATGTAATTGGCAGAAGGAGCCACTTTGCATCTGAATGTCTCGGCTGAGCACAGCGTGGGATGAGTCAGCCTGTGCAGGAAGGATCTGTGGATGCGGGGCAGCACCTCCCCGAAATGCGGCGAGGATGAGGATGCCTGACTGCCTGCCTGCTCTTCCTTCCCACGGGATAAAGGAAAACTCTCAGGATCTTAGCCTTATCCCGGAGAAAGTTGTCATTTTGGATGGATAATGAGGAGCACGAGGGATAAAAAAAGGATGTTAATCTGTTCTGCCCAGACTCCAGCAGTGTGAGAGCTGGGGAGATACACGAGTGTGGATCTCTGGAGCCACTTGTCTCCAGCCAGTCAGGTTTGATCCCTTGTGCCAGCAGGGATATGGGAAATGGGTCTGCCATGTGTGTTCCCACCAAGTCTTGCTCTGTCCCCATCCCCCTAATGGAGCCACCAAGCCCAGGTCTCGTCCTCTCCGGTGTCACTCACCTTTCTGTCCTCAGAATTGCTAAAAAAACAACATGAGGTGACAGTGGCACACAAACATTTTGGGCACTTGGTGCTTCTCATTCACTCTCACCTTTCCACCTCTCTCCAGCTCCCCACCATCACCATCAGACCCCCGGGAAGATGCCAGGGCTGATTAACTGGGGGACCCTCTCCCCGCTGCCCCTCACCACGTCGGAGGTGACATCTTGTGTCAGCGGCTACGCCTTCGGGATGACAGCCCTGCTCACCTACCACAACCCAGACCCCCAGGCTTTGGAAGGCAAGTTTCAAGGAGTAAAGCTTGGGAAGGGAACTTTAGAGCCAGGCATGTAGCAGTGGTGGGTCTCTGTGCATGCCTTAAACCTTCAGATGCTGGTAGGAAGAGCAACCAAGTGTATTATGTCCGAGACTGCGATTTTTTTAGGTGTGAAAAATCCCTGGGAAGTGCCAAGAGGGTGCTGGCTGGTGGGTCCAGGGAAGCAGCTGGTGTTGCTAAAGCCCCTCCTGGCTGGCAGGTCTCTTTGTGTTCCCCTTGGATGAGGGCACGGCCGTCGTGGGCTTCGAGGCGGCCGTGTCCCGGCGCGTGGTGACGGTGCAGATCAAAGACAAAGCCAAGATAGATGACACCTACTTGGACAGCTGCAGCCTCCCCAGTGGAAGAGGTGAGGAGGTGGAGGGTGTTTTAGGGAATGTGGGGGAGAAAAGGATGGCAAGAGGAATGGGGAGGTGGTGGCAGGGGGCGGCTGGCTGGCATATGCCGTGGCATCGAGGGGGCTCCTTGTGAAAGGCTGAGTTGTTGTGGTGCTTGTGTCCCTGCCAGAAATGTCAGTCTTATCTGTTTTGGAAAGCACTGCTGCTTCTGGGCAGCCAAAGGAGTGATGCAGAAGGCTGGGGCTCTTTAGACAATGCTGATGTGTGCAGTGGGGGCTGCTTCGGGTGTTTGATCCAGAGATGGGGGGAATGTGTTCCACTGTTGTGTCACCATGTCCTCCTGGCGTGGTCCTGTCTCTGTGCAGGAAGGATCCTGATGGATGAGGACCTGGAGAGGATTGTTTTTGTGGCTAACCTGGGCATGATTCCTCCCCTGGAAAGCGTCTCCATCTTCATCAGCACCTCCTCTGAGCTGCAGACTACGCCCAGTGGGGCTGTGAGGGTCCTTCTGCCAGCTGTGTGTGTCCCCAGGGTCCCCCAGCCCAGCCTGGAGAATGCCAGCAGCCCTTCCAGCCACCAGCTCCAAACGTACGGAAAACCAGGGGTGGGCTCTGGCTGGGACTGATCCAGGGGGATACAGGTCTGGCCAAGGAGGACTTTGTTGTCACTCTGGGAGGCTGGAGAGCTGCTGCAAGCTCTTCCTCTGGGAAACCTCTATCCTGGGGGGATAGAACTCGTTCACAGGGTTTATTTGGGCTCATCTCACTGGCAGGGACAAGCAGCACTGTGGATCAGGGAGCCCGGATCAAGGGAGCAGGTTCTGCCTGGCTCAGCTGCTGGAGAGTGAGGCCACCAACCCCTTCGAGTACGAGTTCAGCTTCCACCTGGAGATTCGGGGGCCGTGCCTGCTGGCAGGTAGGAACACCAGTGCCATCCTGCTGCACTGGGATGGTCTATCACCTCCTCAAGGCAACATCCACACTCTTCCTCCTTCACTGCCCCTCAGTGTGGGATCTATTTTGACAAGTTAGCTCTGCTGAGGTGGATTTACCAGCACAGGGCTGATGCCAACACGGGTTCCTGTCCTCTGCCGCCCTGTCATCTCTTCTCCCTGGTCTTCCCAACCCTCAAACCCCAACGGCACCTTGGTTTTCCTGGGCAGGCGTCGAGAGCCCCACCCACGAGATCCGAGCGGACGCCGACCCCTCGGCTCGCTCCGCCAAGAGCATCGTGATCACCCTGGCCAACAAACACACCTTCGACAGGCCCGTGGAGATCCTCATCCATCCCAGCGGTAGGTGGGCTCTGCTTCCTCCCTGCTGGTCTTGCCCCTTCCTGGGATCTTCACCTGTGGCTCTGGGCACAGCTGGGTTAGCGCTGGTTTTGTGAATATTGTCAGGGTCGGGCTTCCTTAGGAGGTAATTCCAGACTCTCTCAAGGTATTCGGTGCTCCCCGAGCTCAAAGATGTTGCTGTTTTCCCAGGCTGCATCTCTGCCAAATGCAAAGTTTGGCCAAGGCTATTCTTCACTCAATTCTTTGCATTTCCAGAGCCCCACTTGCCTCACATCTTAATGGAAGAAGGTGACATGACACCCGCAGAGTACGAACGACACCTGAAGGGGAAGAATGATTTCATTAAAGGCACTAAGAAAGACCCCAGTGCCGAGAAAAAGGTGAGAAACAAAAGCTGCAGGTGTTAGCTGAGGCTTTCCCTGGACTGGAGCTGAGCTAGCAAATGATTCCTTGTTGCCAGCACCACTTATTACACTGTCCCTGTAAGCTCTGCAAGATCCTCCTTCGGAGAGGGGCTTGTGTGAAGGAAGAGGGGAAAATTCAGCAGTGCTGCTGATAAACTGAGTGTGGAAGGAGCTCTGAGATGGTTATTGTGTGTATAATTAGTGCTAGTCTAGCATAGCATAATTAGAGAGGTGCATTGTGATAGCATTAAGGGTATTATAATTATTGCAATGACACAGAATAAAATATTCTTTTAATTGCTCAGTAAATGTTTACTGTTTCTGGATATCTGTCAGAGAGAAAGAAGTGATTTTGCTTGGAATAATGAGCTGAACTGGAGACAAGGTAGGAGAAACTTCTCTTTGTTCTGCTGAGCAGCAAAGAGAAAAATATCTGTGCTGGGAGTTGTGCCTTGTCTTCCAGCAGTTCTGAAGGAATGAGTGACAGCCCAGAACCTCAGCGTGTCTGGGAGCAGATCAGGGCCTTCTGAGTTTCCAGGGTGGGCGTCTTCCCCTAAGGCACAGGTTGTGCTTGTGTGACCACAGCCCGGGGCTGAAGGTGTCAGCGCCTGTTTTACACACCCCAGAGCTCTCTGTGCACCCAGAGATGCTCATTTCTCCCTAAACTCCTTCTCCATATGCCTGATCCTGGGCCCTGCTTGGCAGAAATCCTGGACCTGCTGCAGGGATGGCTCCCTGTGCTCCTGTGACTTCTTCTGTCACCAGAAACCCGTCAACCTTCCTCTCCTTCCCTTTGCCCTCCACTCCCTCTCACAGGGCTGGGACTGCGTGTGCTCCTCTAACTGTGTTGAGTGTGGAACGAGATGGAACTCCCACGCTACGCCTTGGATGCTCCCTAATTATTCCTCTGTCTTTAGCACGTCAAATTATCTAAGGGGGGATCATTTCCCTGCAGGAAACCCATCTGTTCCTCAAGGGGGCTGGGAAACAACTGTAGGGAGCAGAGGAAATGCCCAAAATGTCTGGAGTGGATGATGGACTGGAATTGCTGCTCAGAGCAGGACACTGGGCACCTCTCAGCTTAAATTAAATTAGCCCAGAAATTTCAGCAGTAGATGATAATTAATTTTTCTCCTCTGGTTTGTTATGCAAAAGGCTTGGATGCTGTCAGCTGCAGGGTGGTGGGGATGGATGCACACTGGAATCAACTCTCCTCAATATGATCTGATTAGTTTACTGTAATTGGATAATGGGTGGAGGGGAACGAAAGAGAGGTGAGGAGGAGATCTTTTCTTTCTGGTTGACTTGTAGTAGCAGCTCTGAAGCTGTTTTCTGAAGGCTTGCCTGTTAAATTCCCTCCAAAGTCAGTGAGAAATCCCAAAATATGGGCTTAGCCTAAGCACACAAGGATTTTATGCCATGGATCTCCCAAGAGCATCGGAGGGAGTGCTGTAGGTAGGTTAGGACCACAATTCAGTCCTTGGACAAAGGCAGCAAGGATCCCCCTGGTCTGAAACGTGATAAACCAGGAATGATGACATATGGCTGCAGGAAAATGAGGATAGAAAAAGCTCTTTGATTTCCCCATGTCTGATTAATTTATACTCCAAAGTACGAGAGGACGAGCGAGAGCTGATGTGGCAGCGAGGTGCTTGTTCCTGTGAGTGAGACCCATCTTTTCACAGGGTCAGAGCAGCAGCACTGGGGCAGCAGAGCTGAAAGCAGAGCTCTTGCAAGTGTTGATCCACAGGGACTCTTGAGTTAGCGAGTTACACAAAATAAAGGCGGGTCGTTGGGTCGTAGATCGAGGAATATGACTCATGGCCAGGAAAAACAAGCCTGGTTATCTGGGGTCTGATTTACTGCTGGTGAAACCAATGAGAAGAGCAGTCAGAAAGAGGAGAAAACAGGCAAATAAAAAAAGCTGGACTGAGCTGTTGTTGTGGAGAGTGTTTCCACCCTCAGACCCAGGGGTGATGTGGGGTGGCCGAGCTCCCTCGAGAGCAGCTGAGGCCGTGAACCCTCGACAGCTTGATACACATGTAATAGCACATTATAAACCCATCACAAGGTGTTTTCACCAGTTTAATTTTATCCCATTTGTAATGAATACTTGAAATAGAAGGAGGGAAAATGCAGAGCCATTAGAGCTGTGTGCAGTGCAGAGACAGATCATGTGGGTTCCATTGAACAGTGGCCACAATGACCGGTTTGACTCTCCAAAGCCTTTCAATCCCTACAAAGAAAAGTGATAAAAGAGCTGGGCAGAAAAAGCAGCAAACCAGAGGCAGCAGGAATGAACTGAAGCAGTGAACACAGCACATTGAGGGCTGTATCTCTTGCTTCATTAGTGAGTGACCATGGAGAAAAACTCCGGTGTGCCTCGGTGGGATGCGAGGCTGTGCTAATGAACCAGGTTTTCGGGAAGGATCTAATGAAATGTTTGCAGAGCTGGTTTTGCAAGGTGCTGTGTAGGGCCAGGTCTTTTGATTTCTCCTCCAGGTTCTCATCCGAGCGTGCAGCTGCTCTGTAGAATTCCAGAATGGTTTGGGTGGAAAGGGACCTTAAAGACAATCCCATTCCACCCCCCCCCATAGGCAAAGACAACTTCCACCAGACCATATTGCTCCAAGCCCTGTCCAACCTGGCTTTGAACATTTCCAGGGATGGTGAATGCTTTTGTATGTGCCATGGGCCCTGATTTAGGCTTTCTGCCACCTGTTGTCCCCTGATCAGTGTGTGACTGAGGAGGCAGGAATTCCATTTACCCACGGAGCAGCTCCCCTGGAGGTACGAACAGAACAACTTCAGTGCACCCTTCAGTCACCTCTGAGGCCAGAACAAGCAGATTCTGGCCTGCAGAAGGCCACACACTTACATTTTCAGGCACACAGCCCTACTCTGATTCTAGTGCAAGTGAAATGGGGCAGAAAAATCAACCTCTTGATCTTTGTCCTTCTTTCTTGCAGACAGAAATCATCAGCAAGCGGCTGAACAAGGACATCCTCCACCACCCCGTCATCATGCTCAACTTCTGCCCTGACTTGAGGACTGTTCAGCCAGGCCTTCAGAATGCCCAGGGGGAGTTTATCTTCCTCATAGACCGGAGCAGGAGCATGAGCAGCGGGAACATCAACCGTGTCAAGGTACCTGCGGGAGGGGAAGCACCTGCATGTCAACAAAGGATGAATTTTAGAGAGCAGTGGGGGTGCTGAGTGCTGAGGAGTGTTCCTTATGAGGGGATGGGGGGTAATTATACGCTGTGGCTTTAGTCATCTCAGCCATGGGGCTTGTTAGGTACCCGCAGCGAAGCTCATTCTCCTGTTCTCTTCCTCATCTTCCTATCAGCACATCAAATGCAAAGTTGTTTTCTTTCCCTCTCTTGCTGGCATGTTTTGTGCATCCCTTCTCCAGTTCTCCCTGTCTCCAGGAGGGCTTTGGGTGATTTCTGTCTAGGGGACAACCCTCCAGGGTGCTCCAAGGGGAGCGACGTGCTGACCACGCGTTAGGAGATCTTTTGCTGAGGGGCACCTCTTGCCCCCCATGAAACATCCCTTTTCCAAACACAAATCAACAGCAGCAGCCTGGTGGAGGGTTATGGGAGATGTGCTGAGACCTCTGGATAAAAAGGGGCCTGGAGAAAGGCTTTGTCAAGATGTTTTGTGGGTCTGAGGTTCCCCTGTCAGATGTGACCCTTCATCCCGCACCAACCCCAGTGCAGGACCGTGCACTTGGTCTGTTGAACCTCATGAGCTTCACACAGACCCACTTCTTGAGCTTGTCCATCTTTTAACACATCTCCTTTCCCATCTGTCTCTGGTTTCCATGGGAACTGCTGGAGGACAGACACCTCCGGCAACAAGGATTGGGATGCTGGGGAGCCTGAAGATGGCTGTGGCAGGTCCCCTGGGATAGGGAGGCTGTTCCCAGAGGGATCAGGATATCTCTGAGTTGTACCCCCTTCCCTCAGGACCTTTAGGAATCTGGGGATCTCTGCCCCATGCCAGATTTTTGCTTTCCAGCTCACAGCATGGCTGGGTTAGGGCACCACAGTCTCTGCAGACTCCATGAAAGCTGGTTTGTCCCATGGGGATGGAGACCCTTGCAGGGACAGACCCCTTCTCTGGGAGGTCCTGAGCTGGGACTCCCATTGCAGAACTGTTGTAAAAACAGGAAAAAGAAAATATACTTCGTTGGAGATAGTGGAAATTTCAGAGGAGATGCCTCAAGGGAGAAACCCACTGTCCTTCTTTTGAGTCTGCCATCCTTGTTTGTCACTTGCAAACAAAAGTCCCTCTCAGGAAGGGCTCTTCTTGGTGGGTTTGGGTGGGTTTTGCTTGATGGAAACTTCTGCATCGTCCTCAGATGGCTGGATGAGTGAGGTGACAGGGCTTGGAGCTGTGCAGCCACAGGGATGCACAAAGGGATGAGATGGGATGGCTCAAGTGGAGCACGAGGGCATCTGGCCAAGGCAGCTGGGGTGGAAAGTTCAGAGGCTTAAATTCCCTGCAGCCAGTCCCTTTCCCATCCTGATGCAGCCAGGGAGAAGAGCCAGGCTGTGATGGTACATCGAGCTTGCTGGCAAAACTACACTAATAACTGGGGATTGACTTTTCTGGAAGCAAACATCCCTCCTTATTGAGTTGCTGTATAGATATTGAGTGCAACAGGATCAAGATCAATATTTACCATAAGAAGCAATAAATCTTCCTGGTTGCTGAAACAGCAACCAGGCATCAGTTGCCTGCTTTGGGAAGTGCTTTAACAGAAACATTTGGAAATTTGTATTTTTTTCCCTTGTAATTAGTTCCAAGATGGGATGTCAGCGCTGAGATCTGGAAGAGCCAGCATCCCAGGAGCCATCTGGGAGCAGTGGTATAAATACACCCTCGTAGGTTTGAGATAACAGCTTGGATTAAAGCACTCCAGAGCTTGTTAAAGGGCAGCCCTGTTCTTGTAGTCCCCTGATTTTCAGTGCTCCAGCTCTGCCGTGCTGAGTCTTGCAGGAGCTGGGAGCTGGACTGACCTGGCACCACGTCCCTGGTGGTCTCAGGCGGGTTCTCTGTGTACCCTCTGTGCTCACTCGGTCTTTGCCACTGCACAGGCCAACACAAGGTGGCTGTTCCTGCTCATTTGACCTTGGCAGCTCCTCCTGGGACTGGCTCTAGGGTTTCTGCTGCCCTCGGCAGACTGGCAGGAGTCTGCCTTGATCAGCATTTAAAAAGAACCAAGCTGCTCTTGAACACTTTGCTTTACATTTTGCTTTAAATAAACATTTTGCTTTAAATTGGCTTCCTCTCCTGACATATAATTGCTCCTCCAAGCTCAAGAGCATCTTGGGCAGCTCTTGCCCAGTTGCTGCCCTCAAAAGCTCTGTCCTGGAGTTGTCCATGACCATCACAAATGTCTGTGACAATTCAATTTGCTCTTGCCTTATGTAAAGCCCAGGAATAGGCACGTTAGATAACCACCTCTGGTAAAGAAAATAGCTTTAAACTGTTGTCTCCCAGCTATTTTAATTGAAGCCAGCTATGAATACAAGAGAATTGGGGATGGGGGAGGCTTTTCCTTTTGTGTAACTTGGAGCTGTTTGTTTATTTTCTGCAAGTTTGGGCATTGAGATGCATTGCGTGTCGCACTTCTCAATTTCACACTCTGCTTCTCACCCACCAGCTCGGTGCTGCAGCACCGTGTTGCCAGCACAAATTGAATCCCTTAAAAACAAACACAAAAATTTGTTCGGCTCTTTGTTGGTCTTTTTTTTTTTGTTTTTTTTTTTTTTTTTCCCAAAGACTCCCCATTTTCCTCACCGCTTTGGGTCCCAAATACCATTCAGGGCCTCTGGAAAGAGCAGCGTCCCCGTTGCGGTGCATGGGAAAGAAACAGTTGGTTTTCTGGCAAATGCAGGTGGGAATAAGGTGGGATGGCTCCAGGCAGAGCTTTTACTGGTGAAGCCGTGGCAGCCAGAGAGAGTCCTGGGGTGCTGATTGTTTGTTTTCCACCCCCAGGATGCCCTGTTGGTCATTCTCAAGAGCCTGATGCCAACGTGTCTCTTCAACATCATCGGGTTTGGATCCACCTTTAAGACCCTCTTTCCTGCCAGTCAGGCCTATTGTGAGGTGGGTGAACCCACATTTCACAGAATCACAGACTCACAGACTGGTATAGGTTGGAAAGGACCTTAAAGCTCATCCCATTCCACCCCCTGCCGTGGGCAGGGACACCTTCCACCAGCCCAGGTTGCTCCAAGCCCTGTCCAACCTGCCCTTGGACACTTCCAGGGATGGGGCAGTCACAGCTTCTCTGGGCACCCTGTGCCAGGGCCTCCCCACCCTCAAGGGAAGAATTTCTTCCTAATATCTAATCCAAACCTACCCTTCTTCAGCTTAAGGCCATTCCCCCTTGTTCTGTCACTACATGCCCTTGTAAAAGGTCCCTCTCAGCTCTCTTGGAGCCTCTTTAGGTACTGGAAGGGGCTCTGAAGTCTCCCCAGAGCCTTGTCTTCCCCAGTCCAACTCCCTCAGCCTGTCTCCACAGCAGAGGTGCTCCTTGGTGCTCGGAGGGAGCTGGTGCTGACAATTCCACTGCTCCTTTGGGCAGGAGAGCCTGGCCCTGGCCTGCAAGAGCATCAGGAGAATCCGTGCTGATATGGGCAGCACCAACATCTTGTCCCCTCTGAAGTGGGTCATCCGTCAGCCCATCCACAGGGGCCACCCCCGACTGCTCTTCCTGCTGACGGACGGGGCCATCAGCAACACGGGGAAGGTTCTGGAGCTGCTGAGGAACCACTCCTGCTCCACCAGGTACAGAGGGATCACCCCTGTGGGGCCAAAATCCCGGCACAGGGAGGGACGTGCTTCTCCTTGGACGCAGCCCCATCTCACACACGTCCCCACTTCAGAGGCACAGGCAGGAGAGATTGCTGCTGTGAGCCATGGGAGAACCTCAAAGGGTTTGGAACAGATCCCAGAAGTTCAGATGCTTTTTAAACAATCAAAAGCAGGATAATTGAGCTGACAACTTCACAGCTCTTGTCTGATGCTTCCTGCTAGGAGAGATTGACATGCCAACAATCTTCCTTGCCTTTTTTTGTTTTTAATTTTTTTTTTTTAAAGCACATCTGGGGCTGGCCCCAGCTGCTTCCAGGATGGGGCTGTGCAGAATTGAATATGCTGAAAGGGAGCAATGTAAAAAGCAGCTAATTTGTGCCTCGAGCTCCCAGCCTGGCTTCCCAGCCCTGATCACAGGCTGTTCTGGTTTCTCCTCTGCTTCTTTAAGGGACACAAAACGTAAGAAAAATGTAAGAAATCCTCATTCCTCTTCCATCCCTCAGATTTCACAGCTTAGCAGGGAAGCTACTCTGTGGGTTTTTAGCTACATGGAGGTCTAATTGCTCCCCAGCTGTACAGGGCATCCCATCCCTTGCTCTTACAGAGGCGTGGGATAAATGTGATCAGCGTTAGAGTGTGGTCTCAGGTGACCCTGGAAGGCAGGATCATGTGCATGGCCCATCTCAAAAGAAGATCAGAGCCTTATCTGAGAGGGGTATGAGGCTGGCCTAGGATTTGCAGCCAGCTGAGGATTAAAAACCCCTAAGAGAAAAGCCCCTCATGTGGATGCAATTTGCTGCTGAAGGTGGTTTCTCTCTCAGTGATCCACTGCCCTGACCAAATGCCATATCCCACCCATCCCCATCCTTCTGGCTTCCTGCCACATCCATCCCCACCAGGCACTGCCATTCCTGCCTGGACTGCAGCTCAACTTCCAGCCTTCAGCCCGAACCGAATCCTGATTCACAGAGCTGGGAGTCAGGGGAGCAGCTCCTCCTTCCTTGAGAAAACGTTTATTGTAATCATGAGCAGAGACAATTAGTGGATCTTTAGTGCTATTGACCACAGGCAGCAGGGAAAAGAGGTGAACTGGCAACAAAGCAGCTTGTTTGTGTTTGCAGAGGAGGGCAGGGCTCGGGGTCCTGCTGGGAAGCCCCTGAGTGTCACTGCTGAAGGCTGGTCTTTGGGGAAGGGGTTTGAGGTCTGCTGAGAGGAGGGGGCTGGTGGTTCATAGAATCCCAGAATGGTTTTGGTGGGAAAGGACCTTAAACCTCATCTCCTTCCACCCCCTGCCATGGGCAGGGACACCTTCCACCAGACCAGGTTGCTCCAAGCCCTGTCCAACCTGGCCTTGGACACTTCCAGGGACAGGGCAGTCACAGCTTCACCACCCTCACAGGGAAGAATTCCTTCCCAATATCCCATCTAACCCTGCCCTCTGTCAGTTTGAAGCCATTTCCCCTTTTCTGGTCACTCCAGGCCCTCATCCAAAGTCCCTCTGCAGCTCTTTTGGAGTTCCTGTAGGCACTGGAAGGCTTCTCACCCTCCTGCCAGCCACCTCTACGAGGAGCTGGTTTGATTTCCTCTGGCCATAGCAGTGGGATGAAGCCGGGGGGATCTTCTGCCTGCAGGGAGTGGATGAGCTGCGTGGGGATGGGGGAAATGACTTGTCCCCTGGATTTTGATTCTCCCTCTCCCTTTGCAGGTGCTACAGCTTCGGCATCGGGCCAAACGCCTGCAGGAGGCTGGTCCGGGGTCTGGCTGCCGTGTCCAGGGGCAGTGCCGAGTTCCTGGCGGAGGGAGAGAGGCTGCAGCCCAAGGTACAGCCCCTCACTCCCCAGGGACCGCCCCAGGAGGCTCTAACGATGCTCTGGTTCAGCGAGGGGGGAGGTCACGGCTCCCAGCGGGTTTATTCCCCATCCCTGGTGCTGCCTTTCCACCTCCCCCCCCGGCAGCAGGTGGGCGAGGCGGGAGGGGATGAAGGAGCATCTCCATCTCCGGCTGTCGGAGGGAGTGGGAGGGTGTGTTTACCCTCTGCGTGGGGCTGGGGAAACGCGATAGCCGCGATACAGCAGCTCTGGCTTCAAAGGCAGCTGCTGCCTCAGACACCGGCGAGGGCAGAGGGACCGGCATCAGAGCAGCCAATTAGTTTTGAAGTCAGGCTCAGCCCTGGCTTTGCTCGGGCGAGAAGGACCCGGGGTTTGAGGGAGAGGAATGCGCTGCGATAGCTTTGCACATTAAGCCGGCTTTAAAGCCTGCTCATTTCCACTCTCCCCGAGAAGAGCAAACCCGTGTGCCTCGAATTCAGCTCTGTCCCCTGCTGAAAGCACAGTGCCCAGCTTGTCGCCCGCTGCATGACTAGACCCAGAGGGAATTGGGTCTTTAGCTCCTAAATATCTCTAAAAAGCCAGCTCCTGCCTTCGTGATTTGAAAATGAGGAGTTCAGCAACCCCCACGTCTGCAGGAACCTGGAGCACACAAAAAGCTCTGTAAGACAGAATGGCATCAACATTTCTGATGTAAATTAAAAGCAAAGACAGTGAAGAGAGAGGGTTTTTATCGAGCTATTAATAAGAGCTTTGCAGGCTGTGCAGCTCTGTGCCTTCAGCAGTCTGAGGCATCAATTAATGGCCTTATAAAGCACAGCCTTGTGTGTCTTCCCAAGCCTGTGAAAAAAAACAAGGAACAACAGGGAATATTCGAGCTGTTCTGCCTCAAAATCCGGTGTTCACTTCCCCTGGTGTGCAGAGAAGCTCATGTGGATGGCTCCCTGATAGGTTTGTCCATGAGCTATGTTGGTCTTCTCCACATGTATGATTGGCAGAGCGTTGCTGATCTCCGGCAGTGGCTTGTGCCAGCAAGGAGCTGTTCCAAAAATATTGGTGCTGTCACTCTGTGTGTGAATGTCATGGCTCGGGACAGGGATGGGGCTTGGACAAGTGAAGATCAACAGCTTTTCCTGGGTGCTGGGTGGGAGCAGGGGATGCTGCAAGATACTTCTGGCCACAAGCTCCCACCTTGCTCTGAGCCGGCAGCACATGCGGGATGAGCCCCGTGTTCCATCAATACCTACCCCTGGTAAAGAATCATGGAATCACAAAGTCATTTAGGTAGGAAAAGACCTGTAAGATCGTTGAGTCCAACCATTAACCCAGCACTACCAAGTGTGACCATGCCGAGGGGCTGGGGGTGCTGGGAGGGGTATGGAGTAGAGCAAGAGGGATCAGGCTGCCAGGAGAGGGTAGGAATCAGTTGATGGATTTGTTTGAAGAAATCTTCCCCTTCCCTGCAGCACACAGCACGTGCACCATGGCACACACAGCATGCAGCTGCTTGTTTCCCCTCTCCCCTCTGCTCCCTGCCTCAGATGATCAGGTCTCTGAAGAAGGCGATGGCGCCGGTCCTGAGCGACGTGTCCGTGGAGTGGGTCTTCCCCGAGAGCACCAAGGTCTTGGTTTCCCCTGTCAGCACCAGCTGCCTCTTCCCTGGTGACCACTTGGTTGGCTATGGCGTCATCTGTGATACCTCCCTGTACCTCTCCAACCCCAGATCCGTGAGTCCATGGGGCTGTCCCACGAGTGTGGGGCTGCCCTGGAGCTGAGGGGTGTTGGGGTCTGTGTACACGAGTGTCTCAGCTCTGCGCATGGCCAGGAGGTGTTTCCTTCTTCCTGACTCTGTCCTTAAGAGAGGTGGTGGATGAGACTTTGGGGAGCAGTAGTGGATGAGGGTGCTGGTGCCCAGGGGCTGGGATCTGGCTGATGGATGCACTGGTGGGACCTGTTCCCTCTCTCTGCTTTCCCACAGGACAAGCGGCGGTGTTACAGCACGATGCGCTCCCAGGAGTCGGGCAGCTCTGTCTTCTTTCACTCCCAGGAGGAGGGAGCAGATGTGGACAGCTGGAATCACTCCAGAGACTCGGAGGGCTCCTGCCCTGCCGAGCGCTCCCCCGACCACCTGGGGGTGGGCAGAGATCCCGGGGCAGAGTCGGACACGGACACGGGTCAGAGTCCCCTCTGTACACGCGTGGGTGTGATGGCCCTGTCTCCCTGATCAAGCTCCTGTCGCTGCTTCCCCGATTTGCTCCCCTGATAAATAAGTGTCTTCAGCTACAAAGAGCCAGAGGAGTTTGCAGGAGGGATGACAGATCTCCTGGGGCTTGAGCGAGTCTGTTTGGTTTGGATGTTTTATCCAAACCTGTCAGGAAATCAAGGGAAGCCCTGGAGAGCTGGATACCCTGGAGATTTTCAAAGCTTTGGCTTTGACCACATAATTATTTACAAGCTTCCCAAGCAGTGTGTGAAGGAGTGCAGTGAGCAAATGGGTAGCTCTGCTAGAGCATCCCTGCACCTGCAAAACAGCTTCCCAGTCAGGAGAGGGGGGGAATGGATCCCAAGCCCTGTCCCCAGGGTGTCCCCCCTCCCCACCATGGTTTGAGTGGGTGTTTGTGTCAGCAGCATTTGGCATAAAGCAGCTGGGGAAACCTTTGTTACTCACGGGATGTTATTCCCTTATATTTCGAGAGGAGCTGTGCTGTGCATCCCCTCAAACTTGTCAAAAGCAATGAGAAATCATGTCTTTCCAAGGCAAATTTTACTCTTGCTCTGACAGGAGAATGTCTGCACTAATTAAATTTCATTAGTAAACCCTTTGTCTTCTCCAGGGAGGCTTGGGGAAATGCAGTCAGGCTTCTTCTGTCTGAAAACTGCTCAGACGAAACCTCCCCAACCTGCTCTCTCAACATCCACAGGAATTTTGAGTGTTCCCGTTTCCTTTTGTGGTTTCATTAAAACTTTGCAGGGCTGAGGGTGGCCCCCTCAGTCCCGGGAGGGCCCTGGGGTGGGCCCTCTGCCTCCCACCGTGAGCCAAGGGGGGATGGCACCGGCTGATCCCGCTCTGGAGCAGAGCTGATCCTCTCTCCCACATTCAGGAATGGATGTGAAGGGTTCCTCCAGGAGACGAGCATACAGCACCACCCAAATCGCTGACCACAAGCCTGGCAGGAAGGTGCCCACGGCCAGTGATCCCAGCACAGCCCTGGTGAAAAACCCCCTTCGGAAAACCCACCTGCAGGACCTGCAGCAGGTCAGCCCCGACCCCTGGCAGGTGGATTTCCAGGTAGGTGATCCCTGGAGAGGGTTTACCTGCAGGTGGAAGCCAGCAAGGAGCAGCAGGAAACTATCAGAGCCAGGGAAAGGGTGTGGCTCACACTAGTCCTAAAATATAGATATAGATAATAGATACAGTTCTGCAGCATATCACAAACACATGGGAAAGGAGCCAAGCAGAGAGCAGAGTGCCATCCTGATATCCCACAGCAGTCCCTCCCCGTGGGAGCCCAGCTTTGCCCTGCTAAATTCCTCTCCCCTCACCCTGAGTGGCCTGTGCTTCACCTTGCTGCTCCTCTGCTCCCTCTTGTCTCCCTGCAGTTTGGGATTCAAACTCACTGCAAGGCTGTGGCACTTCTGTGCCTTGCAGGGAAAAGGAACTCGGTGCCAAAACAGATTCCCAGCTGGATCCACAGCCTTGTGCAGCATTAGGGCGAGATGTGGACCTGTGTGATGATACATCTGCTGAACAGGGTTATGTCCCCTGCCCACAGCAGGTGGAATTTGGGAAGATTTTACAACTCATCTATGGGAAGGGTGGGGATGGTTTTATCCCATCCTTGACATCACTGGGATGCTCTGCTCTGCAATCAGCATCTGCAGGGCTGGAAAGACCAGCAGCACTTTAGTTCCCATGGAAACTCAGAGTGAGGGATGTTTGGGGCTTTCTTTTCCCTTATGCTGTGGGTTAGAGATCGTTGGGAGAGGGGTGGGAGGTGAGATCAGGGGGTGAAGGGGAAGCAGGGCCAGTGCCCCACAGGGAGGGATGAGACCTCTGCCTTCCAGGTGCAGCAGGGAGGGTGGTGAACGTGAGCAGTGGTAGGTTTTAGGGGTACCAGTAATCTTCCCTGTACTGGAAAGGTCCACAGAGCATCCTCCTGCTCATGGGATGCTCAGTGCAAGGGCAGGGATGGAAACGACTCCCTTCTGGAGGGCAGCAAATGGTTAACAGCATCCATCCTGCTCTTCATTAAATGCAGCCTGCTTTTGCTCTCCCTCCTGCTGCCAGGGCTCCCAGCAGCTCTCCCAGCTCCCGGTCCTGCTGCCAGGGCTTGACATTTTCGGGGGTGTGAAGGCAAGCCCTCAGCTCGTCTCCACACGCACCGAGGTGGGAAGGAAAGGTCAGTGCCAGCAATGGGCAGCCTAAACCCCCAGCTCTATTCCCAGCTGGCTTCCTCTGGCTGGGAGGAGAGCTCAGGCAGGAGAAGGAGCAGGTTTTGAATGGAAAGGGTCTGGCAGGGGCTTCTTTGAGCAGTTTGCTTTTAAATATCTCAATATTAGCTTGGTAAGTAGCTCCTGGAGCTGTCAGCCTCCCATTTTTGCTGGTGGACTCATAGAGCACCAAAAATTATGTGGTGATGGAGGTCATGTATCATCCAGAGAAAATATTCTTTCATCCAGCATGGAAGTCCACCACTTTCTACCATCTCTGTCCATCACTGGGGTTGTGCTAGGAAAATAGAGAGTGTCAGTTTTAGGGGACCTTCCCACAGCCCTGGGGACAAGAATAAAACCCAGAGCTTGCAGAGGGGAACATCTGTGTGGGATGTGACACCAGAGGTGCTGGAGTGGGGGATTCATGTCTCCTGAAAGTGGAGAAATAGACTCATTAAAAAAAAAAAAAAAAAAAGATAAAAATTCCCTTCTCCCATCCCCTGCTCCTCTCTCCTTTCGTTACTAAGCAACTGGTCCTTGATCTTTCTGTCTCTCTTCTTTCCTTTGGTTCCCAAGTGAAGTCATTAAAATGTCTGGAGGGATGAAAATCATATTTCACCTTCTGCATGTCTGGGGAAGGAGCCCCTGGGGCCAGGGTCCCTTGGGGACGGACACACTGCAGGTCTGATGGAAGGCTCTGGGCACAAATTCCAGCCAGGGGTGGGCAGAGAGGGAAGGACTTGTGTGTGTGCAGGATTGCATCCCATGCTGGGGTCGGGCAGGGAGCAGGTGGGATCAGAAGGGACAGAGCAGGTCCATGCAGGGATCAGGGAGGACAGAGCAGCCATCATCTGCAGCTGATCCAGCCCTAACATCTGCTCTGCTCTCAGCCCTTCCCAGCCAGCCCTCATGGCTCTGCCACCAGGATCCGTGGCACAGGTGCCAGGCGCCCATCCCTGCTCCACCACGGCTGTGTGTCCTTCTGCCACGACGCCAACTCCCTGCCAGTGCTGGACGGGCTGCAGCAGACTCCAGGAAGGGGCTTTGAAGCACTTGATGCCAGTGTGAGCCTGCGGTCCTCGTCGGACAGCCGGAGCCCTGGGGACCCGGGTAACTGGCGGAGCAGGAGGACTGGCGTTGGGCTGCGTGCCACCGGGCGAAAATTAGGGAGGATTAATTACGGTTTCCTGGCGGCGGTGGGGAATTCAGCTCCCGGGGATGTGATTAATGATCTGCCTCTCCCCTCTCCGCAGAGTCTGCCCAGCATCCATCCCTCACGGTCGAGACGGAGACCTCCTCCGAATGGGAGCCACAGGACCTGGACATCAGCGCTGCCTGCGGCTCCCCGCGCTCCCCCAGGACCCTCTGCAAGGCGGTGGTGAAGGGGCTGAGGAACAACGAGCCCGTGCAGTGGGAAGTTCCCTTTGATATCCGCCCTCTCCTCCGGGAGCGGGAGAGCCAGGGGAACGGGGACACAGACCTGTGGAGTGAGACCTTCCACCACCTGGCAGCCAAGTCGGTCATCTGGGACTTCGAGCAGCTCGCCGAGAAGGAGTGTGAAATCGAGCACGGTAACACACTGCTGGCTGCAGGCACACCCTGCCCGGCATTTGGGGGGCTTTCCAGCAGCCTCAGGAATTAAAGCAAGAGCTTGGAAGTGGTGAAATATTAGGGAATGTCTCACACAGCTCCCAAATGATAGCTCCCTCCAGCTGCCTTGTGTTTTTCTCCTGCTTCTGCACATCAGCATGCCTGAGCTTGTGCTCCTTCGCACTCCTCAGGAGCGGGGCTCAATGATCCTTGTGGGTCCCTTCCAACTCAGTATATTCCATGACTCTACGATTCCTCTGCTTCATGCATCAGGTAGCATGGTTATTTTTAAGGAGCTGGGAGGAGGCATCAAACTCTGAGGATCCAGCAGCAGCCACACATCAGTGCTCTTGGCTGCACATCCCTGGGTCTTGTCAAACTTCTCCTCCATGAAGTGTATCTGGGCATGTAAAATAAGAGCAGAAGAAGCATTTTAGGCAGAGTTTAGAGCAGTACAGGGATACAGTCTCTGCTGGGTCTGGGAGCTGGGTTCAAGGTGTGGCCTGGACTCTGAGCCTGGTGTCCCTCCCTGGCAGGGTCCGGGCGGCGGTACCAGCTCAACGCTGTCCACACCAGCAAGGCCTGTAATGTCATCAGCAAGTACACGGCGTTTGTGCCAGTGGATCTGAGCACGAGCTCCTGCCTGCCCACCCTGGTCCAGTACACCCACACAGGTAACGTGGTGTGAAACGTCCTGGGAGGGAGAGTGTCACTGAGAAACCTGGCTCAGGGTAAACCCTGTGAAGCCACAGCTCAGTGCTGCACCAGACTACGTACCCGAGGCCATGGCTGAGCTCTTGGTGGTAAGAACCTCTTCCCATGGCCAGGGAAAAGGTCCACTCTTAGGCCTGGATGCCCAAAGATGCCCAGAGAACCACAGAATGGTCTGGTTGGAAAGGACCTTGAAGATCATCAGTTCCACCCCCTGCCATGGGCAGGGACATCTCCCACTATCCCAGGTTGCTCCAAGCCCTGTCCAACCTGGCCTTGGATGCTTCCAGGGATGGGGCAGCCACAGCTTCTCTGGGCAACCCGTGCCAGGGCCTCACCACCCTCACAGGGAGGAATTCCTTCCTAATACCTAATCTAAACCTGCTTTCCATTGGTTTGAAGCCATTCCCCCTTGTCCTGTCACTACAGCTCCTGACCAAACGCATCATCCTGCGGGTTTTGTTGCCATAGTGTGTGTGCCAGTCCCTCTCTAACCCTGGCCATTCCCTTCTCTCGTGCCAAGGGGCAGCATCCAAGCAAGGCAACCAGAGGAGCCTGAGCTCAGGAAACAGAAGGCATCGTGGCCTTTCCCCTGGACGTCCCCAGTCAGCCTGTGGCCAGAATGGAGACAATAGATTTTACAGCACGAGTAAGATTCCCTGGGGTTTTGTCTCCTTCCTGGTGTTACAGATCTCAGTGGTTTGGAACATCTCTGGTCTTTTTTAATTCTGCCTTCTTCTTCGGATGCATTGCTCACCAGACACGTGTCTGGCTGGAGCTCATCTCCTCAAATGGGGAAGAAGCTTCAATTTACCCTGAAACCCTGAAATCACAGGTCATGCTGCTGACAGTCCTTGGAAGTTAATTGGCAGCCGTAACAGAGATAACACGAGGGATGAAACGGGTGTAATTAGAGGCAAGGGGATGTGAGACACTTGCTTGTCACCAAATCCTCCACTAATGAAGACGAGTTGGATTGGACCTTGTCTGGCACTGTCAGAGCTGCAGCTGAGTTAACGTGGCCCTGATGAGGCTCATTCCCCCGATGATGCTGCGGGGAGGGAGAGCGGCGGTGCCGCAGCGGGGGCACGGCAGGGGTTTCAGCTGGGTGGTGTTCCTGATGTGGCTCCTCCATTCCAGATGCCGAGGAGAGCAGCCTGTCCCCCTCCAGCACCCCTCCCTCCTCTGCCTGGGAGCGTTGCCGTCTCCCTGAAGGTAGGAAAAGAGCTGGTGGCGCCTGGCAGGGTGCAGCTGCATCAAGTCCTCTTGGATATCTGGGCTCTTGACCAAATATTTTGCTGAGTTTTGGGGGGTTTTATAAAACTTTACGACCTATTTAGGCTTGTGAACACAAGACCTGACTCTTTTTGGGGTACAAAGGATGGAACCTGATGCAACTGTTGGTATAAATCTCCCCCAGGCTCATTTTTAAGAGGTGTGGGAGTTTTATTATCCACACAGGAAAAATGAGGCAAGGGGAGAGGAAGGATTTTGCCAAAGACTCAGCAGATGGACAAACCTGCCCACGTCCCAGGACCCTGTGCTCCCTTTCTCCTTCCTGTAGCATATCATTTACCCCCAGCTCTGTTTCTTCCCAGGGCCACTCCAGAGCGTGTCTGCTTCCTCTGCACAAGCCCAAAAATCCATTGAGAGGCTTTTTGCTGCCAGGTATGGACCAGCTCAACCTTAGCAGGTGCCTTTTACCTCCCTGGGTCTGAAGTGAACACAAGTGAGGGGGAGAGAGAAAGGACGTCCAGGGACAGCAGCCAGAGCTGGGACCCAGCATGATGCCATTGTCTGGGGACCGGGGGAGGGCTTTTGGAGGAGAGGGTGGGAATCAGGAGGAGCATGGAGGTTACAGTCACCTTTTTGTCCTCCTCAGGCTGACCCTCAATAAAACCAGGCTGCTGGTTCGAGCTGCCAAAGGGTTCATGAGTAAATCTCCAAACCGAGGGAGCAAAGCCAGCTCTGAGGGTGACAATGAGAGCATGAACTACCTTCCCCTGGTGAGCAGCTCCTTCCTGGGTCTTGTTGGGGTTGCGTGGTCATTGCAGGGGAGCAGAGGGAGGATGCCCCCAGATCTCTCCTCTTGCTGTCTCTGACAACCACGTCCAGTGGTCTGCTCAAAGACAGAGAGCTGCTCCACCCATCCACACCTTTTCCCTGAACTTCCCACAAGTGGTTGGTGCCTCAGAGCTTCCCTGTGTGCCCACCATCCCTTGCAGGTGTCCCTGCAGCTGGCCTGTGGTGCCTTTCTCCTGAACTCGGCCTTCTGCAGTGCCGTCAACATCCCCATGGAGAAGCTGAAGTGGACGTCGCCCTTCGCCTGCCACCGCCTGTCCCTCAGCCCCTCCAGCTCCTACAACACCAAGAAGACCAGTCCCTCCATGGAGCACAAAAACTTTGGCTCCAGCCAGCAGCTCCTGGTCCCCGATGGGCACGGGAAGAGTCCCACCAGCAGAGACACCGCTCGGGGGGTGGTGCTGGAAGGCCCCGGCAGCCACACGGAGGACAGCGGGCGCCTCCGGCACTCCTCGGGCAGCGCGGTGGAGAGCATCTCCAGAGCCCTGACAGCCGAGAAGGAACTGTCCCCCCCGGCCATCACCGTCCGCCGCTTCTCCTCCCCGGAGAGCACGCGGGGCTCGGCCGAGCGGGAAGCCGACGGCGGCCGGGGCTCGGAGACAGACGGCTCCGAGGTGCAGGCACTGCTCCTCCACGTGGAGCTGCAGCAGCAGACGGAGCCCGAGGGGATGCTCTGGGCCACGGCGGTGGCCCTGGCCTGGCTGGAGCACAGCTCAGCTTCCTACTTCATCGAGTGGGAGCTGGTGGCTGCCAAAGCCAGCCTGTGGCTGAGCGGGCAGGACTTCCCGGAGGGATCCAGCCTGGCCACAGTGAAAGCTGCAGCCCAGCAGCTCTTTGTGCTCCTCCGGCACTGGGATGAAAACCTGGAGTTCAACCTGCTGTGCTACAACCCAGGCAGTGTGTAGAGAGGGTGAGGAGGGACGCTTGGGCGGATTACTGAGGGTGCAGGAGCAGGGATCAAACCTTAAGGAAACACCTCCAAGCCTTCAAGGAGCTCCTCTGCTGCAGGGCTATGTGTGTTTATTAGAGCAAACCCTGTGAATGGAGCAGTCCAGGCTCCATCCTGCACTCAGCAGTTGGAGTTTTGCCCTGGGAGGGAACCTTCAGCTGCTCTTGCTATTTATTTTCAGCTGGAACAGCACTTCCAGCTACAGCAGTTTCCTCTGATCCTGGTTCCTTCTGGTTCCCAGAGCAGATCTTGCTGCCTACTCCACTTGCCCTGTCCGTGCTTGGGCTGCCTCTTCCCAGTCCCAAATTGCTGCCAAGCCCCTGCTGCAGCCCCCCAGCCCTGAGTCCCTGCCCTCCTGAGGCTCCTGACTGGCTCCTGCCATCTCAGATGGCTTCCAGGGAAGATTAACATCTGACAACATGCTCATCACATGGATCAAAGGGAATCTGGGCTGGGAATGACCATCTGAACAGCAGCCCTGCTGTCACAGCCAGGAGGATCAAGCCCAGCCACGCACCAACAAGCTGAGCCAGTTGGAGACTGGGACCAAACCCCATCCCATCCACACGGTGCTGGGCTCCCTCAGCCCCCCTGCAACCCCAGAGGGAGTTTGTGAGACCCCTTGCAGCCAATGTGTGCCTTCAAAGCTTCACAGGCAGAGCAGGGGCACCTGGGATTGAAGGATCAAGTGCCTATGGAGGGAATCGCACGTCTCTGTCTCTGGCATGGCTGTGATGCCCGTGGAGCCCATCCAAAACCTGCTGCCTTTCACTCCTTTCCTTGGCATGGAGCAGCCTTGCCATGTCCCACCAGGCTTCTGTCTTGTGTCTGCATGTCTGGGGAGCAGATGGGAGGGACAATGGGGACCCCGAGCACCCCTCTGGTCTCTGCGCTTGGCGTCACCTCTCTGGGGTCCCCAGGAGCTTCTCTCTGGTCTCTGCTCTCAGTGTCAGCTCTCCAGGGTCTCCAGGCAGATCCCTCCAGTCTCTTCTCTGGTGTCACCTCTCCTGGGTTCCCAGGACCGTGAACAAACTCTCTGGTCTCTGCAGTGGTGTCACCTCTCCGGGGTCCCAAGGAGGATCCCTCTGGTCTCTGTTCTCAGTGTCAGCTCTTCAGGGTCCTCAGGAGGATCCCTCCAGTCTCTGCTCTGGTGTCACCTCTCCAGGTCCCCAGCTGGTGATGCTCAATGGTGCTGCAGGTTTGCTGGCCAGGTGCCTCAGCACAGTCGTGTTCTCTGTTGCAGAAGTGTTGTTGTCCCAGTAAATCACAGCCTGCTTGACTTCCCGGTGTGAGTCTTTTCTTTTGGGGTGGGTTCTTGGTGGCTTTCCCTGGGGACACCTCAGCTGGCTGGATCGTTGTGTGGCTGTGCAACAAAATACCCCACCCCCCCCAAAAAAAAAACCCCATCTTAATTTAGTGCTTGAGTTTAGATCTGGATTTCAAAGCGGAAGGTGCTTCCTTTGGGTTTTGAGGAGCTGGGTTTTGCAAACCCCACGTTGCAGAGCACTCTGTAAAACCCATGGATCCAGGGTTTTAAAAAAACAGGGGAAATTTGGTTTAATTCTTCTATGAGGCAGAGATGGAGCAGAGAATTCCTGCTGCTCTCTCTTATCAGGGCTTTCAGCAATTTACCCTGTCACCTGGGTCATTGTGAGGATGCCAAAAACCCACACCTTCCTTAATTAGCAGTGTAATTACAGGTATTAATGAAGCAGCCATCACCTTTTCCAACCCAAAGCGAGATGTAGGAGCTAAGTCACCCCTTATTTTCCTCTTGGCAAGCAAGGACCTGCTTCAGTGCCCTCCTACTTTTGGTGACCTCTGTATATCACAAAAACCAGACAATTCTGGGCCAATTTTCCCCCTCTGGACTCCATCTCCGGAGAGGAGTGGGTGTCCCAAAGAGGGGAGATGGATGTCTCCAGCCCCAGGGTCTCCAGAAGATCCCCCTCAGCATTCCCTTTACATCCAAGGGGATTTTCACCCCATTAAGTTATCGCCTTAAGGAAGGGCGCTCCGGTGCTGTTGCCAAGGTGACCGCAAGTGCCTAATTAAGAGAAATTAGTTTGGATACAGTTGTCAGCTGTAGCTTAACAAATAAACCTCTTTACGCTGTGTAAATAAATATTTGCACGCAGCGTCTGCACGGGGAGGGAGAGACTTCCAAGCCCCGGGCAGCATCGTGCCAAGGGGCGTTTCGGGGAGATAACCGGCCAAATTGGGGCAGCGCTGGTGCAAATCTGCACCCCTGGGGTTGTGGTGGATGGTGGGACCCCGCAGAGACCCCCTCCGTGTCCCCAGGCCGCGGAGGGGTGATTTTTCCTGCCAAACATCCCTCCTGCCACGGCCGCGGCTCCTCCTCCGCAGGGGCTCATTAGCCGGGAACCGGAGGAGCCTTTTCGTGCTTTGAAGGGTTATGAAACCTGCGGGAGAGGGGGAGGACGGGAGAGCTTAAAAAAGAGCCGTCGTGTGTCGTGTGTCCCCCCCCCCCACCCCGCCCCACAACCAAACCATCGCCTGCCGAAAAGGGCTGGCAGCCGTTCCTGCACAGATTGTGCCTCTGCCCCCGTCCCCCGCCAACCCACCGCCGACGGGCGATGCCTCGGGGTGGAGAACTTTGCTGGGAAACGAGGGTTTTAACAGCGTTTGCCATGTGTTTGTGTGTGTTTGTCCCATTGCTGCTGAGGAGAGTGGGGGGGCAGAGGCCACGGTGCAGCCACGGACCCACCGGAGCATCCGCAGCTATCCAAGGGCTGTTCCAGGGCTTTTAGCTCCTGATCTCTCCAGTAGGTGCAACAGAACAACACCTACTGCGATGACGGCGTGGGGGGGGGGTTCCAAACCAACCCTCACCCCCAAAACCTGGGCCACGGAGCTGCGTGGGGTTGTCTCGTACTAACTACAAAATAGTTTTGCTCCGGGGATGCGTTTTTCCCCTCCGATTTTCCCCATCCCAGGACCCGGGCATGCCGGCGGGGGATGCAGCCGGTTGGTGCTGTGGGCTCCATCGCTCCTGAAATAGAGCTCAGGGGCAGCTTTCGGGTGCCGGAGGCATCTGAGCGAAGTCATGTGGATGTTATGCAAGACTTGATGATAGGTTGTAAACAGCTATTAAAGTGATTGGCAGGCCCCGGGACGAAGTTTTTTGGGGGGGGGGGGGGGAAGGGGGGAAGAAAGGGGAAAGATGAGTAATAATGATTAAAATAATTATCAAATCGAGACGTTCCATAAATTACAGGAAAAGTTTTTGCGAGGAGGGAGGAAGATGAAGAACCCGCATTCGAGCACTTCCCTGAGCTGGGGGTTGGGAGGATGGGACAGACGCTGAGCACGTAAAGTTTGGAAAGGAGGGTTTCGCTCCCTCAGACCCAGGTAAAAAGCAATTTCAGCTGAAATTTGGCAGATTTGGGTTCACTGAGTGCTGCTCGGTGCTGGCACCCTCAAAACCCAAGGGCTGAGCAGCCCGAGGAGAACAGCCCCGAGTTAATTAGGAGAAACAAGCAGATTATGGGGAAGACAGCTTCTATTTATATATAAATACTCCAGTAATCAGCAGCGAAGGGCAAGGGAAATCCAATAGAAATATGTGACTGTTTAAGAAGCTTTTTGAGAAAAACGTTACACAATCAGCTGCATTTTTCTGGCTCTCACTCCAAGACCCAGAAATTAAGGGGGGAAAAAAAAAAAAGAGTGACCCTGAGCAGAAGGAAGGAGAAGGGATTTCTAGAGGCTTCTGCCCATCAGATAAGGAGGAATGAGGAGTCTTGGGAGCCTAAAAGCCAATCCCATGGGTGCAGTGCAGCGCCCGCCAGAAGCTCACTTTGACCCCAAACTCCTCAGCTCAGCACCCAAAACCCAAAAAGTTTCAATCCTGTGGGGACAATGTGGAAATACAGACATACACAGGTGGATTTCGCATGGAAAAAAGACGCCTGGAGCTTTGCTGTGTTCTCAGGGTGCTGTCAGTGGGTGCTGACACGGAGCAGAAATAGCTGCCGGTCCCCCTGCGATTTCACGCGTCGCCCTCGCCACCTCCCACAGCTCTGCTGCACCCCAGCAAAACAGACACTCTGGGGAGGCTTTGGGGGGTCTCACACATGCAGTTCACTGGGCAGCACCTTCATAATGTCTTTTAGGGGCAATCAGATGGTCGCATCCCCATTTTGGAGCTGGGAGCTCTTCAAGGGCCTGAGGTTTGGGTTCTTTTGGGTTGTTTTCCCTCCCTGTGCTCACTCCCAGCACAGCTGCACTAAGTTTTTGTGATTTTGTTTTTTATCCTAAAGGCGATATAAGGCCCAAGTCCAAGGTTTAGGGGATCTCAGGTGATCTCAGAGGACCTCAAGGTTTAGGGGATAGGTGCATGCTTTTGGTGTCTAACCCTGCCAGTGAGCTGGTTGTCCCAGTGCTCTGCTTTTTGGGACTATTTTTGTCCCTGTAGTGCCATTCCCCATGTAAGGAAGGACGATAGAAATTTGTCCCCTTGTCTGCAGGGAGCTGGATTCACTGCCCAGGGGTCACGGGTGTGCCTATGGCTTTGCAACATTGATTTTAGGGGTTGCATTTAAATCAGGAGAATCACCCCTGCTGTGCAATGACCTTTTCTGGTTTTCTGTCTTCTGTGACACCTGTAAAGTCACCTCTGCCATGGGAAGTGTGAGCTGGGCTGGGATGCACACGAGTCCTGCAAGTGCTTTTCTGCTCCATGCACAGACTTTTGGGGCCCCTCTAATTGTCAAAGTCATGAAATCTCTTCAACACGTGGATGTGATATTACAGATGTTTAGAACACTGAGCTAGATGTCTGTGGGCTTCCCTGGTCATTAAATTAGGGGATTTCTTGGCTTTTTGTTGTTAACCCTTTCTGTGCACGAGGCAGGAAAATAAGGAGAGCAGGTAGCAGGAGTGTGGGGGTTTGTGGGATGGGAAGGTGTTGGGGTCAAAACATGCATCAGCCCCAATGCAGTAGGGCACAGGCCATGGAAATCCTGTAAAGGAATCCTGGAGAGGGTGTAAATCCCTTGGGAGAGGTGCTCTGGTTGGGGTTGCAGGTCCGTGCAACCCTCCCTTGCCATGTGCTTGTGATAGCTTGTGATGGGCTGGTGCCAAAGCACCACGATGAGTAGAAACAATGTGTTTGGGGGCAAAAAAAGGGTGAGCTGCCCTGTGCAAAATTACCAGGGGTTTGGCCAAATGCACCTCTGGGTGCTGATGTGGTGCTGGTTTAAAGGCAGTGCTTATTCCTCTGGGATGAGGACTGGGAGCAGAAGGCTGGTGCTCATCCACAGGAATCCTGCTCTGCAGAGGCTCCCCAGGAGTGGGTGATGCTGCTCCCAACCTGCCCCAGCCCTGCAAGGCGCTTCCCCAACACCTGCTTGGTTAAAAGGCTTTAGAAAATGGTCTTCCCTGGGGATAGCTCCAATTCCAGGTCTGGAAGTGGAGGCAGGCGAGTGTGCTGGATGCCGTAGGGCTGGTGTGCAGGCTGCTCGCTGGCTCTGGGCATTCTGGCAGCTTTTCTCCAGCTGTGATGGATTGAATTCCTGCTATTTTGGGTCTCTCCAGCAAAGATGGTGAAGGGATGGGGTCAGTCATGCTTCAGGGGGGCTGCATCACCTCTTTTAGGGATGGCTCTGGCTGCACAATATCCCTGCCGTGGATCCCACGGGATCCCCCTGCGGGATACGGGCTCTGGGCACGGATCCCATCCCACGGCACGGCTTCAGGGCCGTGATTCCCGCTCGTTTTTCCTCTTTCCTTGGGGCTGTGCTCGCTGCTGCTGCTTATGCAAGCGCCGGGAGCCTTGTGTAACAGTGCCGCAGCCGGCTGCACGGCCGCGGGGGTGGGCGGCTGCCTCCGGATCATTCCCTGGATGTGTGTTTTCCTGGCGTTCAGGGCTGTAGGGTGGGTGCCTTGGGGTCTTGTGGCTGTTTGCTCCCGGCTAGAGACAGGAAAGGCTGTAGCAGAGCTCCAGGCTTCCTGGCTGCGCTGTGAATTGAACTGGGAATGCTGATACACCTGGAATGGGCTGATGAGGGTCTGTGCTGGGCAGAGGCGACGGGATGGGGGGCAGCTTCCCAAATGCCCTGACAGGGCTGTCCTGGGGGATTTGCTTTGGGTCACAGCTCTGAGAGCTCGGTCTCAGCCTCCTCTTGCTCCTGGGGCACTGAGGTGCAAAGTGATTTTCCTTATTAAACCCTTTTTTTGCTCCTCTTGGAGCCCCTCTGACCCCCCTCCTCGTCCCTGCTTCCCAGCACCCACCAGCCGATCTGGGGCCGAACCTGT